GCCATACATTTTAAATTTTACAAGTCAATATCGTGGTAATGTATACCATTATATGGTATAACATAGCAAAAATAGCAAAAGTTCATGTAGGTTAATAAGTGGATAATTTGGTATAGGATACAACTAATACAACACAACTTATTGAAACAAACGGAACATCAAAAGAAGGCGTACGGTAGACAAACAACAGAAGACGTTTCTAATTAAACAAGTAGAAATAAAAAGTAACATTAAGAAAGACAAGCACACCCGCAAAACCAACAAGTAGCAACTTCAGCTTTGCAATCGCTTTATCATTCCTCTGCATCTTTAAACACATAGTCTCCAAACTGTTGGCATTGGCAACGGTAGTGAGGCGTTCATAGTCTCCAAACTCCGACTGCTCTTGGATCCACCGATTTAAAATAGTTAGCTCCTCCATAATGCATAGATCCAACCATTTGCGAATGTGGTGCCGAGGTTCCTGCAAATTAGAAACACAATTGTAGCACGCCATAACGACAAATAGCATAGACCATGAAGATTAGAAACACAATTGTAGCACGCCATAACTACAACGTGGCCACCACACGAACAGCGAGTTGGTATTCCAAATTCGCCATCAGTTTTGTTACAACCACTACTAAAACTTGCATCTGATGAAGAGCTAAGGCTGTAGCTGAATGTCCTCCCTATCTGAAAATGTCCTCCACAGTAGCTCAATCTCTCTATCTAGATATCTAACTTGTAAGTTTTAATCGGCCATCTAAAAATGTATATACCATAGTTTATATATTAGAGTATGGTAAGAAGGGGATTGGGGGGGAAGTAAAATAATTTTAAAATTAAAAATATGAAACTGGCGGGAAATTTAAGAGTTAGAGATGTTTGGATTATTAGAAGGAGCGGGAGATTGCAAAGTTCAATGTGTAGATAAAAAGACTACATTGGTATTAGCAGGCTACATGCAAACATCTGACAGGCAAAGTAGCATGCCACAGACACATAATGGTTAATGGTAGAATGGTAATCACAATGTGGCATGCTACTATCTAAAATAGTACATGTCATGTTGCATGCCACAATATTAAATGTAGAAGATAAACATAAGTAATCTCGTAACGATGGACTATCGACTTCCATTATTAAAACAAGTAGCATGCCAAAACGTTATTATGGCATGGATAAACTTTAAATGGATATACATCTAAACGGATATACATCTAAACCTTAAACGGATGTTTTAGAATAGGTATTTTAATGTACCATGCAACAACGTTACAATATACTACACTGTCGTAAAAAACTAATAACCACATAAAACATCTAAGTGCCGAACTAAGAAAGAGTTAAGTATAGTTGTAACAGAAATTTTTTTTACCAAACATACTAATTAAGTTGATCGACTTGAAAATCAAGATAGTTAAGTCAATCAAAGCAGGGACCAGACAACGAGCCATAGAATGTCTCCAAGCAGTCAGTTGCATACTTCTGTGCAACCTGTTTTAGTACTTCCTTGTTTGGAATTGGCCATCCTTCATCAGAATCTCTTAGGCGCGCTCAAGGAAAAGGATGGTTGCTATACCAGAAGAACCTAGTATATGCAAAATGGAAAAAAAGTTAAGGGGACTTGACATGGCATATGAAATATTTAGGAAACAAAATCATCCATACCTAAATCATTAGTTTGCCATACTTGTATGCTCCGCTTCATAGTAAATGGTGTCACATCATATGACTTCATTGTATCATTGTAAGCATGATGCCTAATAACATAAGGTAACATCTGAGCTATGGGAGAAATGTTCTCTACCAACGACAACTTAGACGAAGCACCAAAGTTGCAATCAAACAGAGTAACTTGACGCTTGTTGAGGTTAATCTTTGAAAGGGCCCAGTGTATGGCGTTAACATAAACAGGGCATAGTAGGTACTGAACCTCAGTAAAACACGGTCGAGATCCAGCCACATAATCATACAAGACAGTGGGCTAGGGGAACTAGTCCTTTTCCAAGACTGTCTTCCACTTGTTAAACACACGAGATATTTGATGCACAAACTCGTACGGCAATATGGCATTTGGCCTAACAACAGACATCTCCTTTGTCTCCTCTCGGCGTTTCCAAATGTAGTGGATTACAGAGTCCATTGTCTACAAAGTGGTAATACTTGATGGTTAACAAAACAAATGGTATACTATGAGAATCCAAGAATGGTATGTAATATCAATAGTATCCAAAGTGTCCAAGAATGACACATGAATTGGGATTAGAAATTGTGATAGTACCTAGTGATCAATACAGACTTCCGCAGATGCTAGATTCAGGAGTTACGTGTTGGACAAATTAATGCTACCAATCAGCCACAACCTAGTTTATAACCATTCTATTAAGGTGTAATATGTAAGCGA